TGCAGTTGTTAAGTTAGTAACACGGTTGTTAAGTGAATCTGACTTCCCCATTGACTTTGCTTGTCAGGTTGCAAAGAGCAATCACATGACCCCAGGACATTGCAACCGTCATGAGTCACTTGCCAAATGTCTGAATTTGATCATGCAACCATGGGGATTCCTCAACCGTTGTTAAATGTGAAAAACAGTCACAAGTCAGTGCCGTTCTTTTGAAGTCATTAAGCAAGCTATTGTAATTGAGGACTACCTGTAATTGCTACCTAGAGTAGCCCCCCAGTGAGATCGGTAGCAAATAAACTCAACAAACTTCATGACTGACAGCTGACTTGGCAAAATATTTATCCCCTTTTCTGCTTCAATTTTGCCAAATATATACCACGAGGAGGTTTATCTGCATTTAAAACCTAAATCTAAAATCTAAAACCTACAACCTGAGCAGGGGCATCTCAACTTTTCTTTCTTTCTTTCTCTATTTGGAGTACGGTATTTTCTTTTCTGTCTTGACTATATCTTTGCGTTGAATTATTAGGTCTTATTTCTCAGTTTAACATCGAGATCTAACGATCATGTGGCTAATAAGTAAGCTATTACGATGTTCCCATTTGAAGCAAAGGATAAAGCTTTTATTCTTCACAAGAAGATTGAACTCTAGGAAAGGGACAGAGAACATATAGCTTCCATTCAAAACTGAGGCTGAGGAGTTAGAAATCCAGCAATACAGCCGTAGATTTCTCCTTTGTGCAGGGTACAATTTATTTATTGCTGATTCAGCTTGTATCTTGCATGCAGGTTTGAAGGAAAGCCCTATCATGCCATTAGACGAGAGTGAAACAATTGCCTGTATCATGGAGGAAGCACGAAAACAGGTGGGAGTAATCTATGAACAGGACCGTGATGTGTAATGTTGAAACCGCCTAATAAAATGTTCAATTCTACCAAAAGTTGTGTCTATGCAATGGTTGTGTTAATTAATTTAAAACTGTCTGGTTCAGAATAGACAACATTGGTTTTGGCCTTGAAAAGCATAAACTCCATGAAAATGTTGGCAGAATGTGTACTTCCAGCTTAGACCTTTAAATGACCTGCTTTTAAAGAGAGCCATCATGGTATAATGGTAAAGAAGCAGACTGGTAGGAGGGAAACCAGGTTCTAGGTCTTCCTTAGACATGGAAGCAAGCTGAACAAGTAATGCAAGCCCTACACAGGGAAATAAAAAATATACAATATCTACCAACTTGCATTGGGCCTGTATAGTAATGATGGGTTCACAATTGTTATACAAGAAGGCCTTCATCTTGCAATGGCTTGATTTGGGGATGCTTAAATCTTGTATCATCAAGATAAGCAAAGTTGGCAATATTTTTACATTAACTCTTGAAAGATTTATGTTAAGAATGTAAACTTATTGCTTCATATAAGATTTCAGCACTCTTCCATAATGAAAGACCTTGCAAGATGAGATTACTGACACCCTGATAGTTTCTGGCTATTTTTTCACATAAATATTTTGAGATGCTGGGGATTGGAAAAGTCAAGCTTAAAGATGCAGGAGTACAATCTTTGATTCAAAGCATATATACTTTAAAATTGCTCCACTTGCTAATCACCGCATCAGCAAAATGTGAATAGGTTAGGTAGATAGCATAAGATGGTATAATACAGGGGTATCAAACTCAAGGCCCACAGGATCTAGCCTATAGGGTGCTTAGATCTGGCTCATGGGGCTGGTCTGGAAATAGCAATGGCCCGGAGTGCTGCAGGAGGCCTTCCAGGCCCAAAACGGGGCCTCCAGAGTGCTCCAGGAGGCCGTCCTTGACTCAGGTTATAAAAGGGAGGAAAAGTAAAATATTTTACCTTTCAGGCTTGCAGGATTCTGCTACTATAGCCTATGTCAATAATTTATAGTTCTACCTTCCTATGGAGTCAGTTTCTTGATCTGATCTCTCTCATAAGATGATCAAATATTAAAAAAACAAAATCACAGAAATGTATGCCTTCCTATTTTTATAAATTTATAAAACCATGTCAGTGGAGGTGCGGTCCTGTGTCACGCCCATGGCCATGGCCACTCCCCACAAGGTCCTCCGAGGTCAAACCCAATCCTGATGTGGCCCTAAATGAAATTGAGTTTGACACCCCTGGTATAGTACCTCCATGCATTTGGTGAAAAGGAAAACCAGGTGGAAGCTTTTATCGAGCTACTTAAATCGATAACTAAGAAATAATACATAATACTGCTGGCGGCAGCAGTTTGAATGATAGCTAACTTCATGGGGTTATTCATCTATAAAAATTTATTTGGAGCCTGGCTTCTGTGGTTCGGATATGCAGCTCCTATACCCACAAAATGAAAGCATTATCAGCATTTAATGTACTTTGCAAAAGAATTTTAATTTTACTCTTGAGTTGCTGAGGACCCACACTTTGAAAATCACTAGTTTAGAGAATAGACACCCATACCATCTGCTTCCTTGAAAATAAATCTAAAAAATCTAGCTCTCAGAAAATCAAATACAGGTAGTCCTCGGCTTACAAGACCATTCAAAGTTATAACAGCACTAAAAAAAAGTCCCTTATGACCATTTCCCACACTTATGATCATTGCAGTATCCCCATGGTCATGTGATCAAAATTCAGACACTTGGCAATTGACTCTTAGACAGTTGCAGCGTCCCATGGTCATGTAATCCCCTTTTGAGACCTTCTGACAAGCGAAGTCTATGGGGAAGCCAGATTTACTTAACACCTGTGTTACTAATTTAACACCTGCAATGATTCACGTAACAACTATGGCAAGAAAAGTCGTAAAATGGAGCAAAACTCATTTAGAAAATGTTTCACTTAGCCACTGAAACTTTGGGCTCCATTGTGGTCAGAGGTCAAGACTACCTATATTCATTCCCATCAACTGAAGCCATTGCTAAGAGAAAAAGTACTTGAAATACTCCTTTGAAGAATAATAAAACTTAAAACATAACACCACAAGTCTGTAAATTGTATTATTTATTGTGAACTGAACCATAGACCCTCATTTAAATCAAGATACCATAATGTTTCAGGACATCTGTGTATTTAGAAATCTTGTTCTCCACATTTTTCTCTGCTTGCTTTCGGAGTTTCTAAAAAGGAGAAAGAAAAAGAGGGATTCAGTATAGCAACGAGATATTAGCAGGCAGGCAAGCGCTAAATGGTAGAAATCCAATGTCAATTACACAACTTACTTAGGCAAACTGTCAGGGAAATCAGTCACAGAATAGTTCAGATTCCCTTTATCATTTCCTTCTTTACCACCCACTGGATAATTAATAGTTTCCCTTGGTAAAAAATCTAAAGCTCTTCCCCTTCATTTTTAATTTACATGTCCTGGGACTTCCAAGCATGAGCATTTCTCCCCTCAGCCTTTGATATACAAGATTTGGAGCGGGGAAAAGAGAAAGCCATCTCTCTGCTAAGGCTACTCTAGATCAGCAGCCCACAACCTTTGGGGCACCAGGGACCGGTTCTGTCAAGAGATTTTGCTGTAATCAGGAGGAGCGTGGTTTCGTGTGCTGCCTACATCCTGCAAATGTGGCTTCACTTGTTTGTGTGGCCTGGTTTCTGGCATGCCGTGGATCAGGGTTGGTCTAGAACAGGGATGTCAAACTTGCATCATTACAGCGGTGTCACGTGACGTATCGGGACCTTTCCCCCCCTTCACTAAACCGGGTGGGAGTGAAGCCAGCATGTGACACATCTGGCCTGCAGGCCGCGAGTTTGATACCCCTGACTACAATTATAAGCTAAGGTTAACTCACCATAAGCTGTTTCTTCTTGGTATAATGAACCTTGGCCTTCTCTTTGCGCTTCTCTTCCAGAGTGGCTGTGATGGCTTGGTACTTCCACCCAACCTCATGGGCAAGGCGGCCCAAATAAGCAAACTGCGTGGAAGAAAAAAGCAGCATTTTATAACCAGTCCCAGTATCAAATTTTACACCTTCTATTTTGGCTAAATTTCATTTTCCCAGATATTCCCATTAATGCTAATGGGATAATGCTAATCTCAATTGATTGGACCTCCAACTAGCATGGCTACCTCAGCAGAATCAGAATTCTTGTTCTCCATAAGGCAGACTTGCTAACCCAGAAAGCCAACGCCCTCAAAATCTCATAGAATGTATTACTAAAGGCAGGTCTCAGATGGTAGTGCATGAAACGTTGTCTCATGGTCTTGAAACTCGAACTATGGTGGAATGTCATCATCACAGACCTACTTAAATCAGTATCCTTAACAAATGTAGTAGATTATCCCTCAGCTAGCTAGTAAGGCCAAGATTCCCAATCGGCACCAATCTAACAGTGATGCTGTGGGAGAAAATACCATAAGAGCCCCTACTATTATAAGAGCCGTGGTGGTGCAGTGATCAGAATGAACTATTGCAGGCTGACTCTGCCCACAGCCAGGAGTTCGATCCTGACCGGCTCAAGTTTGATTTAGCCTTCCCTCCTTCCCAGGTCGGTAAAATGAGGACCCAGGTTGTTGGGGGCAATATGCTGACTCTGTAAACTGCTTAGAGAGGGCTGTAAAGCACTGTGAAGTGGTATGTAAGTGCTATTGCTACGTTTTCTGGCCGAAAACTGATCTGAATGGACATCCAAGTAATGTCAACTTTCTTGCCTGATACCATCAATGGGTTTCCAATCCCTCAGATCACCTTTTCTTATCTCAATTCTTTTAGCCAGAGAAAAGGAGCTTCTGAAAACATATTTGCAAACTTAACATAGGAAGCTAGAGGTCTTCCTTAATTTAGAATTTAATGGCAATGGATTGTTAATCAAAGAAATAATGTCCTAAATCCCTATTGTTAATTCTTAAAAATAACAAACATTACCTTGCGTGTGGGTTTGAGGCGGACCACTTTCAGAGCAGCTGGGACAACCATTCTCTTGCGCTGCAAGAGAAAATATGCCATTAACAATACTTGCACAACGAAAGCAGCTCTGAGCAACACTGGGGTGCTCTGATCTGCCTCAGTCCTAGGGTTCTTTTCTCACATCTCAAGTCAAACAATGTAGGTAAAAAAGAATAACATCACTGACAGAATAGGAAGCCAAGGAGTAAAGATAATTTATCTTCCACATCAGGAAGTTACCTTATCATAAGGTGGAGGGATGCCATCAAAAACCTTCAGCCTCTCTAAGGCAGCCTGACCACGTTTGGTTTTGTGAGGGAGCATTCCTAGTGGAGCAAGGGGGAAAAATTGGAAAAGTGTACAGGGTTAGCAGAGACCCTCTAATCTCTTACAATATATAAGCAAATGTAAACAGCTCCCTCTTAATTAATCAAATAATATCTGCAATGCTGAGCAGAATGAAGCAGGACTAAATGCGATTACTGAGCAAACATAAGCGAAAGTAACCTGGATTAGAACTACTTTACCCCACCCCAAATTTAACAGTCTTTGCTAGTCTGGACCCTTCAAGTGCTTTGAATTACAACTGTTGTAACTGCCAGACCACAGGGGCATTGATCATAATCTGGAAAGAACGGGCTAAGGAATGCTAACCTTGTTCAAAACACACTCACAAAAATGCATATGTGGACTCCCACTAAGTACCGAATCACATATTCCTCAAACATATGCAAGTATTTTGAAAAACTAATTTAATCTTTTTAGGGGATCACTTCTGTTTTCGAGGTGAAAATAACACTCACCTCGAACTGTTCTCCAGAAGATTCGACTGGGAGCACGGAAGTGATATGGGCCACGGGATGGGTTGGTGTTCATACGCTTGCGGAGGAAAGCAAGGTATTTCACTGGAAGAATAGAAAAACAGAGACAGGGCTTACACCAGATCAGAAAGATTAGTGTGAGCTGAACCTCATAGATGACACAGCTCATTGACGTACTTAGTTCCTAAATGGAGAAATCAAATTTCCATACTGACAAACAAAATCATCTACTACAGTTATGAAGAGTTACCTTCAGAATACAGGAACTTCCCAATTTCCCAAGAAAACTGTCAGGTTCGTGTGTAAATGTCAGATGTATGGATTTGGAATCCCCGCTTTATTCTTAAGACTCTTTATTATTAAACATATTAATATGGCAATGGGTGCATCGATAACTCCTTTACAAGCTGCACTGATTGCTAATTGGTCTCCAGGTAGAATTCATTGGTCAGCGATGAAAAAGCCTTCCCTGGCACAGTTATCTGTGGGACAGTCCTCTCTCCAGTTATATCTGTTCATCTTCTTAGCTCTGGTACAATGGGAATGCTCCCAGTCCCCTTGTTAAAATTACATCATTTTGTGGGGCCTCAGAAATATATTAGTCCTGTTGCTGCACCTGGACTGTAGTGTTCAAACCCCTTTTCCCCTAAAATCTACATGGATCAAGCCTGTTGCCATCTAGGAAAGACTTTTTAAAACATGACTCTTTCACTAGGCCCTGGCCGAGATTGTCTATATGGAATAAAGGAATTGTTTATGAATACATTTTCCCTACACCGTACTCCTCATCCCAAGCAACTGGGTGCCACAATGCCTTAAATTCAACATGGAAAAAAGGAAGTGGTGCTGGCAGTTCTCCTACTCCTTCAGGGTCTATGCATATTGTATGGATGGTTACAGAGCAAAGAAGGCTGTAAGAACAGGCTGGTGGTCTCAGATGGTAGTGCATGTAGAGTTGTCTCATGGCCATGACACTCGAATTAAAGGTGGTAAGGCATCATCACAGACCACTTCTCATAGACACCATTCTTGATATTTATTGCATCGCATTCTTACTTTGTGCCATCCGTTCTTATCTTCTTTTGTGCACAATGGGGAAATTATTATTTCAAAGCATCCAAATCTTGATGCAATGTATCTATACCAAACTGACATGTCAGTCAAAGCTCCCAAAGAGAGTTTGGAAGGGCAGCCTCCAGTATTAAGATTGTTTTCCTACCTACCCCTACATTTTCCTCAAGCTTCTCTGCAGTGAAAAGACATTAATAAAGCACCAATCTATACAGCTTATACAGTTCAACAATGCAAAATGATTAGAATTCTGCCACGAAGATTTTAAGATGAGTTACTGGCACTTCTACATGTTGCTCCCTAGCTGTGTTGCCAAGTATTAATTAAAATGCAAGGAAGGAAGGAAAGGAGGGAGGCAGTTTCCATATGCAAAGCTTGCCAATATGATTATACTGCATTTTCTGGAAGAACAAATGACCAATAACAATCTGTCCTTTCCCAGAAGCTTATTCATTCTTTTTGCTGATGCTTTTTTTCCCTTGGAGCCTCAGGGACTTTAAATATTTACTCCAAAGCCTTTGAAACTGCTACTGCTAGGTCTCAAGATTGTAGAGTCTTGCCACTTTTATGTCAAAGCAAAACTAACTTTAAGGAAAACATGATTATTCTAGATCCTGGGTCACTGATTTAAAGAAACACATGCTTTAACATTACAACTGGCCCTAATTGCCAAAGCTAAGTAATTTGCTTTCCTAGCTTTTGGGTAACTTGGAAAAATTGTCTTCCCCAAATTATTTTGATAGGTTTGGAAGCCTCAGTTTTACTTACATTTGTTGCGGTAGAAGTTGCCCGATATGTTAATCCCTTCACATCGCACAACCACAACTTTACGCCCTGAAGGAAAAGGAAAGTAAACTTAGAGTATGTCCTCTGACATGGAATATAGATTGGACATAAACGTTTCAAAGTGATGTCTAGTATGTTACAAATTGTAAGCTAGTATCATCAGAAGTCTACCATATCACGTTTTTGTTGCTCTTTTCAATCTACAGATGAATAAATTATGGTAGTTCATGTAAGAATGGTTGGTAAAACCTAGCTAAACTTGAGCGAATTTAAACACAGAATTGGGTTGAACAGGCTAGTACTTTGCATAACAGACACCACCATAAAATCCCAATTCTGAAGGGCAAATTGGAAAACTGAAAGGGCACCCTGGAAGAAAATAAGGACAAATTTCTTCCATATAGCTTCAAGAAAATGTATGGACAACTCCACAGTTTCCAGGAACTGACCTTGACTTTAAGGATACTTTTTAACTTCCAGTAAAACTACCTGGTAGTATAGAAAACTGCACACATAATGATTAGCCAGGGACATATCAGACTAAAAATCTAAATCAATACAAAAATTATAATATGCTTCAAAATGCACCCTATTTTAAGGCCAAGGACTTTAAGGAAGTAGAATCCTATATACCTGGAGTAGGCAAAAGAGTATGAACTTTTCTAGATGGAGACTTCTATCAAAATACCAAAATTATGTTTAAAAAATATTTTCCTTTAGTTATTCTCAGAAAAAAATACAAATAATCTCTGAATTTGCTTCAATATTTGCAAGATGCAAATATCAAGAAGCATCTCCATATATTGTTAGTAAAGTCGTTGCCTTGCCTCATCCTCGTCAAGATATAATATGCCCTCCATACATTGGGATGAGCGACACAATTTTCCCCTACACAAATCAAACCTTACCCAGCAACACTTGCTTAGCCACAATGGCTGCAAGGCGACCCAGCAAATGGCCACGTCCATCAATCACCAATACCTGGAAAAGAGAAGCTTTTAAATGATGCTTATTGACATATATAAAGGAATATTTCTAGGATCTAAACAAATGCTCTAATCAAACCACAGTGATTTCACAGCATGGGAATTTGGCTCCATTTTTCCAAAAGTATACAGCATCTTTCACAGCCTTAACACTTTCCTACAAAACTAAGCCTCTTTTTTTCGGCAGTTTTCTCTCTATTCTGCATTCACCTTTCTTTCTCATTCTACCTTTCTACCTAGCTATCACAACTGAGCAATTCTGTAATAGAGTCAGGTATGTACAATCATCAACTTAGTAGAAAATAAAGCTTATAGCTATGCATAAAAAACCCAGTTTACTGGTATTCAGCAAGTGGGGCACATTCAGCGGGCATACAACTTTAAGCCTCAATTGAAACTGAAAAAAACAGGGAGGGGAGGAATAATAGTGTTGGGAGTTAAAAAAGCCTCTGATCTCTCCCCCCTCCCCTTTTTTAGCAGCCTTCTGATCTGCCGATCAGCATACAATGAGGTCAGAGCCTTTTGTTCTGGAGAATAAAATCTCCTTCTCACAGCACGTCTGGATTTCATCGATTTGTTCTTGCTTCACACCCCAGCTCGTGGAAACCACAAATTATTCTACTGATACTAGAAAAGAAGCTTTCCCGTTTCTAATCTTTCCCGATGCACTCAATTAAAAAGCAACATTTTCCCCCCCCCCCCCCACCCCCCAGCTTCGGCTATGCTGCTGGATGGCGACGCCAGCAACTTAAGTCTAAGGTGTGGAGAAATCTTGGCCGCCTGGCTGATGCCTCTAAGTGCACCATTAACCCAAGCTTCTCTTGTCGCCTTCAGGAGGAAACGACACGTGCCTATGCCGGTCAAGCGGGTAACATTTAGCCTTCTTTAAATACCAAATCAGGCCAAACCGTGGAGGGGATTTACAGTTTGCCATGAAGGAAAGAAACGTAAAAGTAAATGCTGCAGGGCGGGAGTCTAATTCATCCCCAGCCACGTTCTCTCCCATCCGTTCCCTCGCCCCCTCCCCCTCCAGGCCCAGATCACCTCCACGTGATCCCTCTCCCTTCTATCCCGACAATCGCCGGGAAACCCGGCAGGGGATTAAAACGGACGCCGTTCAAGCCTTGCCGCCCGCCCATCTGCCCCGCTCCAACCGGGAATAAAACAAAAAAAGGAGCTCAACAGCCCCGCACCTTCGGCTCCGTCATGGCGATTCCTCAGCGGCCGCAGGGGAAAAGACTCCACCCCCTCACATCCACGGGGTTGCCTTTTCCGGCCGGTTTAAGAAATGTTAAGAACCACAGGGGCGGATATGACGTAGACGCCTAAAATGGAAAGACCACAGAGGTGCGAAGCCGGTACTACCAGTAAAGACAGCAGTCTACTTCCGTCAAGGGTCTGGAAATGGCGCCGCTCTATAATTTTTTTCTTCTCTATGGTGAACGTCGTCTTTCCTAGGCAGTTGAAAGTTCCGTTGGAAGACTAAAAATTCAAAACTTGACAGGAAATAGTACAAGAATAAGTTAGGCTCTTTGGGCGGTAAAGGACTCACCGGAAGAGAGCTTGAACTCAGGGCAGAAATAGTACGTGGAGCTGCCACGTTGAGAAAGGTCTTTCAATTATTTGTTATATTTATATTCCGCTTCTCCTTTGGAAGTTCAACCCGACCTACGTAGTTTCGGACCTAACACAAATGTTTCACAAACACAACACAAAGGTGAGCAGCAGTTAAAGCGTGTGGGAATCAGGTGGCCATAATACATGTATAGACCAGTTTAATTGGTTGGACACGTGTATGGAATTTAGCACCGAAATAATCTGACTATGAAAAGCGGGTTCAGCTACATGACCATTGGAGGGGCCCTATTTAGATTGGAGGCTGTGTTTGCCTGCATAGCAGAGATATCTCCTTGTAGAACATTCCTGACAACTGAGGTAGATCTCTGGTAACAGGGCCTCTCGGCCTAGCAGAGGAATATGCTGGGAACAAAGCCAAATATGATAACATAGCTAGAGTTAAGTTTTGTTTTACCTTAAGTATCGCTTTCCTAGAATTCACGTGATTTACTGTAATTGGTAGAATGTGAAACCTATATGGAGAATATATGGATGCTTTTCTTCTTCATGCATGTAATATGAGATGTGTAGCCATAATAACGCCTTCTGATGACACTGTATTGTAGGAAGTTAGCACCCACCCCTCTCCTGGAAGAGTGAAATATTTTAGAAAATATGAAAGTGGCAGAATATTATATTTCCCTGGGAGAAGCATATTTTACAGACAAAGCAGCTCCCACCTTCCTGCCCCCACCCTTTGTCAATGGGCCATTAAGGCTTGGGCCAGTCTATTCTACATAACAAAGATCTACCTCCTTCAGGCAGAGCCATAGTAGGAATTGCGAAAGATAGGATTAGCCCTCTACACAATAGCAGTAGAAACTCACCACATGTGACCTGGGAAGCACATCTGACCATCAGCCAGCAAGGCCCCCACCCCCTGGGAGTCTGACAACCAATCAGGATACTCTTTCGTGGCCCCAAGAAATGCAGAGCCAGAGAGAGCATAAAAACCCGAAGATTTACTGTATCACCCCTTTTCTGTTCAGGAACTCAAGCCATGTGATCCTGTCCACCATTAAACCATCTTTCCAAGCAGTCTCCATGTTTCCAGTGTCTGTTTCCCCACTTGGAGCAGAACCCAGAAGGATGTTTCTTCCAACAGTATTTTGATAACTAATAAAAGAGATGGCAGGCTTTTGTTCGCTGCTCTCTCATCACGAGAAACACCTGTCCTTGTGCTTTCTCTAATCTGGACTACTCATGAGAAGCCCACCAGGATGAATGCAACAAAGCGTTGGATCCACGATTAGATCATAGTCTCAAAAGATGCTTTTTCAGGAGGCAACTGGACTTTCTTGGTTTTTCTTTGAAGACATTTTGCTTCTCATCCAAGGAGCTTCAGCTCTGACTGGATGGTGGGGAATGGAAAGATTTATATTCCTTGCAGACAGCTGGTCATTTGCATCCTTTTAGAGGGTCATTGAGGCCACTTGGAGGTTTATCTGTGACCTCACGGTCACCTGAGGTTGAGAAAGCAAAACCAAGAAAGTCCAGTTGCCTCTTGAAAAAACACCATTGAGACTATGATCCCATCATGGATCCAACACTTTAACTGCTGCTCACCTTTTCCATAATTTTTTTGTTTTGCTCACTTGTATTATTTTTGTCTGTCCGTGTAACTTCTTGTAACTCATATCACTGGAAGCCCTTTTTTTCCTTAGAAGGAAGTCAGTTAAGAGACTAAGGTAACTTTCTTGGGTGAATCCTTATTGGAGGAAGAAGAAAATGGGCTATGTGAGGATCCCTTGCTCCCTATTTAAGTCTCTCTTGGTTGGGAGTTTGAGCAGAAGCCATCAGCTGAGACCTTGTCCTTTCAGAACTTTTTTGATTCCCTAGTAAGTGACACAATAAAATACAGAATGCTAGAAGTTATAGGTAATCAAGAATCACTTGTGAGTAAATAATGTTCTGCGAAATTAGATTCCTGGATCTCCATTTCTCTTTGACTTACTTGTCATGCCTGATTCCTTGCCTCCCTGGACCAGCCAATTTAGTCCTTGGTTCTGACAACTCTTGGTCCCTTCTTTCCACTGCTTAAGGTAAAGGTAAAGGTTCCCCTCACACATAGTCGTTACCAACTCTAGGGGGCGGTGCTCATCTCCGTTTCAAAGCTGAAGAGCCAGTGCTATCCGAAGATATCTCCGTGATTATGTGGCCAGCATGATTAAATGCCAAAGGCGCATGGAACGCTGTTACCTTCCCACCAAAAGTAGCCCCTATTTTTCTACTTGCATTTTTATGTGTTTTTGAACTGCTAGGTTGGCAGAAGCTGGAACAAGTAACGGGAGCTCACCCCGTTATGCAGCACTAGGGCTTTGAACCGCTGAATTGCCGACCTTTCAATCGATAAGCTCAGTGTCTTAGCCACTGAGCTACCATTTCCCTTTCCACTGCTTAGTGTCCCCTTTAAATCTGATTTCCCTTTTGCACTTGATCTTGGCTTACAAAGGCTAAGGTAAACTCTCTGTTGATACCGCTTGAAGAGGATAGAATTGAATACAATAGATTCTTTATTGGCCAAGTGTGATTGGACACACAAGGAATTTGTCTTGGTGCATACGTTCTCGATATACATAAAAGAAAAGATGCATTCGTCAAGAATACAATAGAATTCTTTATTGGCCAAGTGCGATTGGACACACAAGGAATTTGTCTTGGTGCATATGTTCTCGATATACATAAAAGAAAAGATGCATTCGTCAAGAATCATAAGATACAACACTTACAACACTTAATGATAGTCATAGGGAACAAATAAGCAATCAAATCACATTAGGAAACAATCAATATAAATCGCAAGGATATCAGCAATAAGGTTACAGTCATACAGTCATAAGTGGGAGGAGATGGGTGATAGGAACGATGAGAAGATTAATAGCAATGCAGACTTAGTAACTACTTTGATAGTGTTGAGGGAATTATTTGTTTAGCAGAGTGATAGCGTTCAGGAAAAAACTGTTCTTGTGTCTAGTTGTTCTGGTGTGCAGTGCTCTATAGCATCGTTTTGAGGGTAGGAGTTGAAACAGTTTATATCCAGGATGCGAGGGGTCTGTAAATATTTTCACAGCCCTCTTTTTGACTCGTGCAGTATACAGGTCCTCAATGGAAGGCAGGTTGTAGTAATTGTTTTTTCTGTAGTTCTAATTATCCTCTGAAATCTGTGTCTGTCTTGTTGGATTGAAGAACCAAACTAGACAGTTATAGAGGTGCAGATGACAGACTCAATAATTCCTCTGTAGAGACCTAGAGCCAGGGCCGGATTTTCCTATAGGCTAACTAGGCTTCAGCCTAGGGCCTAAAGATCAAGAGGGGGCCTCAAGATCAAGAGGGGCCTACATTCAAATTGTTAGCAAAATTAAAATTACACTTTCACTATAGGTGAAAGGGCCTCATAAGTGGAATAGCCTAGGGCCTCTTTTCATCTAAATCCGGCCCTGCCTAGAGCCTAATTTATAATATAATGAGAATGTTCTGAGATTTTCAATTTTATTCCAGGTATCATTATGCTGTCCTTGGTTTTTCTTTTTCAGACTGATGTCTCCAGCATTAATTGCTATTTTGTGTACTGCCAGTCATGACGGATAAAGTGTGTAGCTGCTCCCATCTTATTTGGGGAGGTGTTATTGGAATCGGTAGGCAGGTAAGATTTTGAAGCTACTAGCCAGTGGTGGGATTCAAATAATTTAACAACTGGTTCTTTGCCCTAATGACCAGCTGGGTAGGCATGGCTCAGTGGTCATGTGACTGTGTGGGCATGGCCAACTCAATGTCACTCATGTTGATGGGAACTTCACCTTAGCTGTTACAATGTAATAAGAGTTAACCAGAGAGGCAGTTTCTGTAAGCAGGGCAATAAAGATTAGGCTAGAAACACCACCAGAATGTTTCCTTCCTGCCTTCCTTACAGGATTAGCCCCATAAAGTGGAAAAAACAAAATAAGATTTCTTCCAACAACCGGTTCTCCCGAATAGGTGTGAATTGGCTGAATACCACCACTGCTACCAGCCACAAAGCATGGGGGAACCTAGGGATTGTTAGGCTAGGAGTTCTTAATGTGGAATCAGCAACATATAGATCCTGCTAGGCTCCTGGGATATGATGGGATCCATTCTGGGATGTGAAATCTCCTTTGCAGATTACAACCATTCTCTTTAGTTTGCTGTTTCCTGAGGTTCCTTGCAGCATACAGGTTACAGTCTTGCTGGCGCAAATACAGATAGTCTTCAATTTAAGACCATTAATTTAGTAATTGAAATTACAACTGAAAAAAGTGACTTACAACCAGTTCTGGCACTTATGACCATCACAGTGTCCACGCAGTCATGTGATCATGATTCAGGTGCTTGGTGCATGTTTATACGATGGTTGAAATGTCCCAGGGTCTCATGATCACCATTTGTGACCTTCCCAGGAGGTTCCAACAAGCAAAGTCAATAAGCAAATCCAGATTCGCTTAACACCCACAGCAAAAAGGGTCATGAAATCAGATGTTGTCATATGATGACTCACTTAACCACATTACATAGCGATGGAAATTCTAGTCCCAACTGTGGCTGTAGGTTGAGGATTATTTGTACCAGCCTAAGTACAAGCACACATGTACATTCTCTCATTCTTTCTCTCTTCTGTCTTTTTAAGAGGAGCTGAAAATGAAGATGTTTACTGGGCCATGGTCCATTGGGAACCGGGGCACACAGTCAACAGGCAAACCTCTGAGCATGCAAAGCTGCATTTGTGCAAATGGCACACATATGCGTGAAACCATCCCTTCTCCACCCGCTGCCACCAGACTGCAGAGCCGGAAAGGTTGAGGACTGCTGCTATAGACTACAGGTAGTTCTCAATTTACAACCAATCATTTAGGGACTGCTTGAATTTACAACAGCACTGAAAAAAGGGACTTATGATTTTTACACAACCATTGCAATATCCCTATGGTCACACGAATTTGGACACTTGGCAACTGACTCATATTTATGACAGTTGCAGTGTCTCAAAGTCATGTAATCACTTTTTGAGACCTCTCACAAGCAAAGTCAATGGCGAAGCCGAATTCACTTAACAATCATTGTAACGCAATACATTAACGCATTGTAAGCCGCCCTGAGTCTCCGGAGAAGGGCGGCATATAAATCAAATTAAAAAAAAAAAAAATCATGTTACTAGCTTAACAACTGATCGACTTAACAACTGTGGCAAGAAAAGTTGTAAAACGGGGCAAAACTCATTTAACAACTGTCTTGCTTAACAACATAAATTGTGGGCTCAATTATGGTCGTAAATCAAGGACTATCTGTAGTTTATTTTCAACATTTCCTTTCTCTTCTGTAATGCTGTCCTGAGTCTTACCTTCTGTTCCCCACCCATCCCTTCTAATCCTTCGGCCAACTGTCTATTCCTGGATTAATCGTACTGCAGCTGGCCACCCACGTGTAAACTCTGTGCCCTTTCCTATGTCACACCAGCCTGCATATGTTGCCAACACTAGAGATGGGGGAGCAGTAGAGGAAACAACCTGGCTTATATCTTTCCCTTTAAAATAATATTTGACCACAAGGAATCAGCAAGTTTTGAGTAGGAGCATCTGGAAATGAACTTGTCTGTCCCTCACCCACCTGTCTTAAAGCAAGCTGCTCCTCTAGGAGTGATTGATTCGAAATTCAGTCCTCTTACATGTAGGTACCTCAGCAGAAACCCCTTTGATTCATTTTAAGTTTTGAATCTTACTACCGGTAGTGTTAGAAGTGACATCAGGGCAAGATTTGGTGGCAGAGATTCAGGCTTCTTGTTAGCAAAGAAGAGTTCCCTAATCCAGCCAGACTGGCTGGCCATATTTAAGGGAAATGCATTAATACAAAAATAATTATGACTAGGCAAGTGAGTATAAGACTCTACTGATGGGAAACAACAAAACCTAGAAGAGGTCATCGATTCTGGCAGTGATATAAAAATATTGTGAATAAATAAATACAACTACCACTTGTTGAGTTCCCATTGCAATCATGTTGCATTCATCTTCCACCAGAAGTCCTTTTCTGTTTGCATTGCAACTATTTTTGGAATCTAGGAAGGTGGAATAGATACATCTTAATAAGAGAAGATATATTAGAGGAAGTTTGGATTGGTGAATTAAGTCAGGCTGGCTATGTGGGAATTCCCACAATGTAGGAAACAACTCTATGGTTGAAAAGAGAGAATAAAAGACATATTCCAGCACCCAAGTCAACACATTCTTTTCCAAACCATTTTCAGTTTCATAAATAATATTTATATATTTACACAAGAACAAGATATTTCTTTCCAACTTGAGGGAGGGGGATTATCCAATGAGGGAAGCTACATGTATAGAGCAAACACCAGATAGACCAACCAACCAACCCACAGAGAAACTACTGGAGAGAAGCAGGAGGGAGAATTGAGAGTTTAAAAGAGAGGAGAGGAGGAGGGCTTGATGAACACCGTCCATCTTTTTGTTATAGTTGGAATAGCTTTTGTGAAATTGCAAAAAAACAGTATGTGTGGTATGAAGTTGCCTGAAAACTTTCCAAACAAACTTAATGCTTTATTGTAAAACGATTTCTGATGAAAAGCTGGTATGTTTATGTGTAGGATTACATCTGGGCTGCAAAATTACTCAGAGTCACTAGGTGGCAGCAAAGGAGAAAACCCCAAATGGTTTTCTAGCCATTACCAAAGTTTTTCACCTAGTGGTTATGATCACCTAGTGGTTTTCAAAATTTTTGCAACCTAGTTCTGGTAATCTAATTTATGTATATTTTGCATTATGTGTATGTGTGTTATGGGATGGAGTACTATCTCCTCTTCTGTCCTCAATGTGATAATCATAGTAATCCTTTGCATAAGAGTGCAGAGTGCTTTACAATCCTTTTTCATTCACAAGAACCTTGTGAGGTAGGCCACAATAAAATTATTCTTATTTTTAAATCAATCCTGAAGACTATTATATACAGAAGCATTCTCAAAATAATCCAGGTTTTTCATACCCCAAAGCAACATTTAGGATAATTCTGATTAATTGTGCTACAAAAATTAAATATATATATATTTGTATATTTCCCTAATGGGATAGGAAAGCAATGTGACAATTCCTTGTGCTTTACTAGAGGCCATGATGGCAGAAGGAAAGTGGTATAACCTCCCAAATTCATTTGATCACCATCCTCTGTTGCACCTCCAAAGAGTTAGTTAAGAGTTTGCAATGTCAATTAATATAAGCTCTTACTGCATCAGTGCTACATCTGCAGACTGACCAAAGATTTCAAATAGGGATCATGTTTTTTAAGAACTGGTATAGTGTGATGTACAATGTGTTTAACTGAGTTTGGCTAATTAGACCTCATTCAAATCCCCAGTTACACCCCACTTTTCCTCAGGAAACTGAAAGTAACGTACAATGGCCAAGGGTACTCCTGTTTTTATCCCTGCCACAATTGTTTGAGGGAGGTTCAGCTGGAAACGGCTGATCCAGATTCACCCAGTGAGTTTCCATACTTGAATGGAGACTTGAAGCTAGTTCTCCATGATTGTATTTCTCACTCTAAATTCATCATATAAGATTGTTGTAAGGAGAGGTTTTTACATGCCTGGAGAAGGAAACAGCTCAAGTATAATAGGTTTGTTTAAGAGAAGCCCATAGGATTGAAAGCAACAGTCTAATCTAAATGATATAACATGATTGGGAATATTTAATACCTATTCACAAGTGAATTGGAAGCTTTTTAATATTTGCTGTTAAAGCATAGTGTAAATATGTGGCTGGTTAAAATAAGAATCTGGGAGAAACAATATGCTCAAATTATCTGAAGGGACTATGCTAGTTTCATGAAAGAGAACAAGTAGTTATAAAAACTATAATCTATCTGATGGAATGACAGTGATAAATAAACGCTTAAGGGATAACACTGGGTTAGCCTTTAAAGTGCCTATTTTTTGAAAGCACCAGAAAGCATAAACAATGGATGAAAACTAATCAAGGAGAGAAGCAATCTAGAACTACAGAGAAATTTTCTAATGAAAACAATTAAGCAGTGGAATGGCTTGCCTTCAGAAGTTGTGGATGCTCCATCACTGGGGGGTTTAAGAAGAGACTTGTCTGAAATAATATTAGGGTCTCCTGCTTGAGCAGTAGGTGGGACTAGAAAACCTCCAAAATCCCTTCCAACTCTATTATTCTGTTCTGTTCTGCTCTGAAATGCTTTAGGGTTTTAGAATATAATGTTGCCTTCTGGGGAAGAAATGGCAAAAGAATTGACAACTACAGTACAATGAAGAGCCAGTGAGTAAACCAGCTCTTTGTAATTTTTCTCTGGACGAAGAAATGACAGCCTATAAATGCTCCAGTCCAGGCAATTGCTTTCTTGTGAGGAGACTGCAATATAGAGGGCTCCAGTGGGTTTAGAGACAAGGGAATACCTTCCTTGTTCAACCCATTTGTCAATGCCTTTAAGGAAACAGGGTTTGAGTACTTCCTTTTCTAATTACTTTTGGAAATTGCTTGTTAACTAGTTTCCATCTATTAGGAACCTGGATTAACAGGTTTTACAATAACTGATGAGTTTCCTTCAATTCATAGTGAAAGAAGTTTTAAATACAAGTTCTATAACAAACTTGTAATACAAAACAAGGACTATTTTTCTAAAATAAATAGCAAAATTATGATTAAAATTTTGATTTTTAGAAAATTACAAATGGACTAGGGATCCAGATGGATTCGAAATAAGATTTTGGACTTAATTATAAGAATCCTTCATGTAGGAAAATACTTTTGGTTTTGAATTATAAAAAAAAAAGACTGAAGTTTACACTAGAGGGCAACAGAAGGAACTAAATGTTACAATTAAATAAGATCATTTAAATTTCATTTACATAATGAAGCAAATTTTTTAATATTTTACTTATTGAAGGATATTTTTGAACAATGGATCCCGAAGTTAATATTAAGAGTTTCTGCCTCTGTAGGCAGATAGTTTAAAATATGTTATGGTAGAGGAACTAGTTTTATCAGACTGAGACTGATCTGAAAGTGAATTTAAAAGCTTCAAAAATTATATAGAAAATGACGCTATGCTGAACATACAAAAGAAGCCGATAATAATTAGAGGGGATATATAAATAACAAAGCAAGAGAGTGACTGGGATAATCTTCCCATATTAGATTTATAAAAGAATCTTCTTAAAGCTTTGAGGACTTTTTTGAGAAGAGATGGAAGAAAAAGAAAAAAATTTGGAGGGACAACATTATTTGAAGGGATAAAAGATTAAGATTATTTAGAATTCAAGGAAGGAATATAAAGTTGGCTTATTTGATCAAGGCTAAAAAAATAAATATGTTGTTAACTCTGGTTATTCTTAATGGATTTTTTTCTGATTGAGACTGAAATAATGAGATTCTAAAAATATTGTTTATACATAAGAGATGGGATATGGGAAGAAGAGATCATTTGTTGTATTTTAAGAGAAGGTGCTAAGTTTTTCTTTATATATTTCTTTTCTTTTTCTTTACTATATTCTTTCTTTTCCTATTTTTCCTATTTTTCTTTTTTAGTTGGTATTTGTTTTTATTGATGAAGTTGCAATTTTTAATACAATTATTCTTTAAAATAGACTATAATATTGCCATCTGAAGTTTTGGGTGTTGAAGAAAGCTTAGATTTTTATCGTTTGAATGTAAAGTGCATTAAATAAGTCTGAAATGCTATACATTATTAAAAAAAAACTGCAACAAAACAATATGAGGAAATTCCAAGAGGTGGATTGGGCAGGGAGAGAATATAGCCAACAAGTACTGGATATTTTTAAAGCTACCAAGAATTGGGTGGGGGGGACGGGGACAGGGAGAAAGAGAGAGAGAGAGAGAGAGAGAGAGAGAGAGAGAGAGAGAGAGAGAGAGAGAGAGAGATACCGTATTTTTCGGAGTATAAGACACACTTTTTTTCCTCCTAAAAGAGGCTGAAAATTTGGGTGTGTCTTATACTCTGAATGTAACCCCCGCACGGTGCCCAAAATGGCTACCCAGAACAACTGCTGCCTTCTCTTACCCCTTCCGTGCTTTGCCTGCTTTAGTCACTGGAGCTCCTTCTGAGGATTAGCTGTGCTTTTGAAGCTGTTTTACAGCCCCAACAAGAGGGAAGTGATCTGCAATGCTTTGCCTGCTTTTCTAATTGTTGCTCCCTCCGATGATCAGCTGTGCTTTAGAAGCTGTTTTTTAGCCCCAACTAGCCCCAACCTCAAAATCAGCAAGCGAACTAATGTGCTGAAGCTGACGCCCCAACCTCAAAACCAGCGAGAAAACTAATGTGCTGAAGTTGACCAGGCTAAGGACTAGCCAGATGAATACCTGGTAGGCAGAATTTTTTTCCCCTATTTTCCTCCCCAAAAACTAAGTTGTGTCTTATGCTCCGAAAAATACGGTAGTTTGATATTGTTACACAGAAAGTGATTTACAGTACACACTAAGAAAATATCAACCCATTAAGCATAAAAATCATTTACAGCTCAGGAAAAAAAAAATGCTGAAATGCATAATACAATATTTGGGAATGCCTGGGTGCATTTTGAAGGCCTATAGCTGTGATGGCAAACTTTTTCGGCACTGAGTGCCCAAACCGGAAGGTGGGTGCACGTGCGCACGGGGCAGAGTGCCAGCTGGTCTTTGGATTTCCAGTGTGCATGCATGCTGGCCAGCTGGTCTTTATGCACACCAGAGCACTGGAAACCCAAAGACCAGCTGGCTGGTGCACTCATGTCTGTTTTTTGGCCGTTTTTGGGGCTGTTTTCAGGCCATTTTTCAGTTTTTTTCAGGCTCTTTTTTGGGCATTTTCAGGCTGTTTTTTGGGCCAAAAACAGCCTGAAAACGGGCCATTTTTTGAGCTATTTTCTGGCCATTTTCTGGCACTCCAGCGCCTGCGAAGACCAGCTAGCCGGTCTGCGAGAACCAGCTGGTGTACCAGAAAGCAGATGAGCAGCTGGCGATGGCACACGTGCCCACAAAGAGGGCTCTCCATGCCACCTCTGGCCCAAGTGCCATATGTTTGCCATCATGGGCCTATAGATTACAGCAGAAAAATGGGCTATTTTTTAAAATATGGGAGCAAGCATTTATCCTAAGGGCCACTGTAATGGCTTCCCCCATCTTCAGTTCAGGATGATGGTTGGTGCATAGGTACTAAAGGCATAAGATGTTGAGGGAAACAGGTCTAATTTATTTCTAAGAATCAGAAGGGTCTAAGGCAAAAGATTAGATGCAGAACAAGGCTACCCAAGTAAGAGACTAAAAAGCTGGAGTTGGTGCCAAGCCACTTCCTAATTATGAGAAGTCCTGAAGGGAAACCAAAATATCAACTTTTTTCCTATGGTCCACTTGGCTTCGGGATTGAACCTGGGATCTTATGAATATGAAGGGTGTGATCTATTCATAAGCTATGTTTTCATTTCATACTCGATAGAGGATGTTGCAGTGTTTTTGCTGTGATCCCAAAGCTTTTCAGTCAAGGACTGTTGGGTAGAATCAGGAGCAATGGGTGTGTGGAATTTAACTCAACCCCTTGGTTCAAGGAGCATCAGCCTTCAATAGGAATGTACAGTGTGAAGATACAGTGGCCTGTAGACAAGGAAGGGTAAAATAAAGCACTTGAAAGTAAGTGCCTGTGGATCATTACTGAGGTGTAGCAGATCGCTGGGAAGGGCAATTTTTAATAGGTCAACCAGACACTGGTTTTCAACCAGACACTGATTGCCAACACACCAGAAATGGGATGGAGGTTGTAGGACAGGATGGTAAAGTAATGGAAGATAGAGAAGAAGGCTGAACAAGAAGCCTTCTCCTCACTCCAATGGATTGTAACTAAGGTCCCATCATCACATGAGGGTGGAGGATGGGATTCTCTATGACAAGTCTCGTTGTTCTGGCACGCCATACATATAGGAATCTTTCCCAGGCTCCTGTATATATTCCTCCTTTTTGTCCCAGTCAGCTGTCCAACCTCCATTGGCAAAACTGGTACTTTTGGTGGCCCCATAGCCACCACTGCCTGCCCCTGCTCCCATGCGGGCTGCTTCATCTTCCTCGTCAGCTAATTCATCCTCGTTGATGAAGCCACATTTCTCTTCAGTCAATTCTTCTGGCTCAGCCCAGGGCTGCTTCTCCCCAGAAGCAAAAATCCCGTAGAAGATGACACCACCATAATGTACTAGAGAGGCAATGAGGAAAACATATTGCCATTCTTCTCGTGTCTGTGGAAAATGTAAAAGATCCATCATTCAGAACTTATTTGAGGGATATCCCACACCCATATTCTTCAACCTATGGCAGAACACTGGAAATTCTCCGCACAAAAGAAATATTCAATTTCTTGAAAATCCTCCTTTCTTACTAATAATTATTAATAGAATAGAACAGGTCATTGTTGCATATGCCACTGCCTTGAAAATGAAAAGGATGAGGTTACTTATAATCAAGTAGAACTGGTAACTTCTATAACGATATATGTATATATTTAGATATAAATAGTCAGAAAGTAAAAGAAAGTTAAAAACTCAGGATTTCAAAAACAAGGTACAGTGGCACCCCTTAAATGTTTCTAGAAGTACTCGAGTGAGTGTGGTCTAAATTTTTGCCTGGTTTGCAGTTTGCAGAATTGAATATTGCAGAAGTTGCTAAACCAGCTGGGGCCTTCAGGTTCATGGAAATTGTGTAGAGAGTAAGCAATGTTGTTGGTCAGATTGCTAAATCAAGCCCATATCCTGGTTTTCTTGAACATAATGCAGAATTAGCTCATCTTTGCTTTGAGGCAGAGTTTTATTTTGATTTACTTTCCAATTTTGCCTACACTCCTGGGATTTCTTGTAGTTTCACATTCACGTTCTAACCAAGTCTTACCCTACTGAAGTTTCTTTGAGTTCAGCCATGGTCAGGCTCCACTAGAACAATACAAGACAGCATGTAAACATTCAAATGCTCCAGAACTCTTCACAGGTTTTGGTACTTCCAAAACCCAGGGGTGTCAACACAGGTTGACATTAGAACAAATCCAATAATGTTGCAAGATTGAAACTGTAGACTTGATTCATTGTAAGTTATTTAACCATGGGCAATTGAATAAAACATAGTTAGCTAAATTTACATACTCAGTTGTTCCAACCTGTATTTCAGTCATTGACCAATATTTTGTACAGCTTCATATCAAAAGTTATAACATGCAAAAAATTAAAAGGAGTAGTAAAAGTTATTTTTACAAGTACTTAAAAATATAAATAGAACAGAAATAAAGTGAGCTAAAGAAGAATGCATGCAATCAATAGAAATGTAAAAAGATCTACAAAGTAAAATACTCTATTAATAATAAACTGCTAAGAAATATAGTTACTTAGAGGCTAGAAAATTGAATTGATATATTAAACTGTTACATTATTCAACAAACCAATGCTCTCCTGATGATTTTTATGACAAACTACCAGGATTTCATAAAATCAGGAAAAGTCGAATAAAAAGGACAGCTATATCTTGTTAAATCCGATTTAGTAATTTACAAAGAACAATAACTGACTATACCTAATTTGTTAAGCCAAAAGCAAACAAGCGACAATATGGCTGAATATCTGCCAGGTTCTGTGAATACCAGATTTATATTCTGATAAGTATTCTGGTAAGCAAGTAAGTATTCTTTGACAAAGAAAGGATGTCTAATCCCTGTTGAATTTAGTTAAGCATCATTGTGGATAACAATATGAGAGGAAAAAACTGAATATAGTACTGAGGTTTTCAATCACCTTCTGCCTAGACAAAACTTCTTGAAATTAACCACTATAGCAAAAGATTTAGTTTTTTAGAAATAAATAAAACAATAACTAAATAAAATAAATTTAATAAACAATAAATAAAATAATAAATAAATAAATTAGTTCTACATAACAAAGCCATGTAAACTACCTTATGACAACATTAATGTATGAACTACATCATAACCTCTCTACGTATCTATTTAAAGGTCTTAAGGTCTACTGTTGAATTAAAGTCCATTCTTGAGGCAGCAGAGAATTAAACAATAGAGAATATATGTAGCTCAGGGTTGAACTGTGGGGTCCTTGATATTCTCTGAGCTTGGTGGTTTTCTTACAGATGTTTCATTACCAAACTAGGTAATATCACTAGCACTGATGGGGTTATCTAGTTTGGTAATGAAACATCTGCAAGAAAACCACCAAGCTCAGAAAGCACCAAGCACCCTGCAGAATTAAACAAGCATGAAATTTATTATTCTAGTGCCGGTCCTTATCCAGCAACTATTACCTCTGCTTGCAGATACTGCAAGTCACCTGATGTCCATCCAAAATAACAGGTGATGATATCTGATGTATTGGACATGCTTAGTACAACTAAGAATAACTTAAGCCTGTCTAACTCATGAAATGAGGATGAGACAAAAGCAAATATTCAAACATGTTATCTGTTCATTTTGAGTCATACTAAAGCGGAAATGGGGAAGCACTTTACATACGATAAGCCTTATTTGCACAAAAATAAGAATTGTAAGGACACACATAGATGCATAAAAACATTCCACTCTTTAGAAACCATTTCTTACCTTATGTTTAGTCATTGCTCCAACAATGAGTGGGCACACCATACCTGACAGGGTCCCCACACCATTGGAGATGCCCATCAAGATACTGGCGTATCGAGGGGCAATATCTAAATGATTGACATTGAATCCTGGAAGTGGAGTAGATAAAAATTAAATGAGTAAGACACACTGCCTGAAAACCTATAATTAGGTTGCATTTGGCTACACATTTGCAGTTTAATAAGAGAATGGTTAATGTTACTGTGGTCTTCTTTAATCTAATAATACAACTCTTCTAGAGGAGTTGTTCTTCAGTTTCCATAATGAAATTGGAGAAGACATCCATAACACCCTCTAGCTTCATCTGATTGGACTGGGATGGGTGAAGGGCCAGGGAACATGATACTCAAAGATTTAAAGGAAAAAAAATATTTTAAGGTGCCTAATCAAATCTGCAAAATTCATTGCATTTCTATTACTCTGCTGGGGCAAAGATTCTGAGAGCCATTAAATAATGAATTCCTTTTAACACAAGCAGGACATTCTTCAGTTTGATGGTGATTGTGAAACAATGCAAGAGAACAATTCTACAGATAGTCTTCGACTTATAACTGCAGTGGAACCCAAATTTTTTGTTACTAAGCAAGACATTGTTAAATAAATTTTGCCCCATTTTACGACTTTTCTTGCCACAGTTGTTAAGTGAATCACTGCAGTTGTTAAGTTAGTAACTCGGTTATTAAGTGAACCTGGCTTCCCCATTGACTTTGTTTGTCAGAACATCGCAAAAGATGATCACATGACTTCAGGACATTGCAATTGTCATAAATATGAGTCACTTGCCAAACATCCAAATTTTGATCACGTGACCACTGGAGATGCTGCAATGTTCAGAAGTGTGAAAAATGGTCCTAAATCACTATTTTCAGTGGCATTGTAACTCCAAATGGATGAACTGTTATAAGTTGAGGACTATCTTTTCTCATTTTACAGTATGTGACTGAGAGTGGACAGTGGACGAAGCGGTAGCCAAAGTGTTTCATTTCCAGCTCTATAATTCTAAGCCTAAAATGTCCTGAGTATAGATCACTTTGGGTGGGTTTATGTAGGAAATGCCTCTTGAGACTTGGCAGAGGGTAGTTGATAGCTATGATTACATCACACTGGTCCAAGACTCAACTCTCAACTAGTTGAAAAAGCTTTGTGGGGGTAAGCAAGAAAATCCTCTGTGTTGGAACAGAAAACAAAATGAAACCAGAAATCTCTCTCTATTTTCTTCAAAAAAATAAATGTAACATTTAAAGATATAGTAAATTTTCCAGAAATCTTATACAGGACAGACATGGTTACCATCTTAATACTGCAAATTCCCATGTTGTGCTCAGTATGGTACCTCTTTCTATAAATACACTTAGAAGCACACTGAAACCTGTGTTACTTTTGATAGGTATAAAACCTCAACCTAGATAGTAAGTTGCACATATATAATAAAAAGTGGCAGCTGATTCTCTTCGGACTATAGTATAGTAAATCTGTTCTTTTAATACATCACACACTTTCGCTACACTTGAGTAGAGCTAACCTTCAGAAATGTATTATGATATACAACTAAGATGATTAAAAGCCTGGAGATAAAACATATAGAGGACGGTTGCAGGAATTGGGTATGACCAGTCTAGAGAAAAGAAGGACTAGGGGTGACATGATAGCAATATTCCAGTACTTGAGGGGCTGCCACAAAGAGCAGGGGGTGAATTTATTTTCCAAAGCACCAGAAGGCAAGACAAGAAACAATGGATGGAAACTAATCAGGGAGAGAAGCTAACTGGAATTAAGGAGAAACTTCCTAGCAGTGAGGGCAATTAACCAGTAGGTACTTCATCACTGGAGGGTTTTAAGAAGAGACTGGACAGCCACCTATCTGAAATGGTATAAGGTCTCCTGCTTGAGCAGGGAATTGGATTAGAACAGATGTCAGCAATGTGTGGCTCCTGAGCCGCATGCGGCTCTTTCATCCCCCTGCTGAGGCTCCCTGCCAGCTGGCTGGTCCTGCCCCTCGCCCTCCCCTCACCCTCTCCTCCCAGTCACTCCTCACGTGGCCTGAGAAAGTAAGGGCAACGGCGTGGATGGAGACTCGCTCCATATTCCAGAGCGGGAGGGAAGCGTCCCTGTACTTGCCTCTCATCTCGTGGGCACTTCTTCCAGTGCTTCTTGGTGCTGTGTGCACCTTGGTCACTTGGGGAGACCCGCGACTTTCTCTCCGCTCCGAGACACTGGCCCGGCCCAGCTGTGGCCGATGCTCCGCGTCGTAATGGGCTCCAGGAGGAGGAGCGGACACCGTCGCCCCCATTGTGAAGCGCACTAAATTTAAGTCTGCTGTGCAAGGCGCTGTGAAAGCAGCGAGCAGGCCATGGAGGCAGTGAGAGCAGCGGCGTCTGACTCTTGATTTAAATCATATGGTAAAAAGCACCTAAAGAAGAACATCAGCAAAAAAACCCAAAAAACCCAACCCCAACCCTTGCCTGTTTTTGGAAATGGTCCAAGAGGGAACACACACACACACACACACACACACACACACACACACACACCAGAGAGAGGGAGAGAGAGAGAGAGAAAGAGGGGGGAAAGAGAGAGAGAGATGAGAGAGAGAGAAAGGGAAAAAGAGAGAAATGAGAAAATGATGGAGGGAGAGTGAGAGAGAGGAAAAAGAAATGAGAGAAAGACGGGGAGAGGGAGAGGGACACAGAAATGAGAGACCTAGAGAGAGAGAATGAGAGGGAAATGAGGGAAATAAGAGAGAGAAGGGGAGAGAAAAAGGAAAAAGAAAAGAAAGGGAGCAAGCGAGGGAGATGAAAAAGAGAAAAATGAGAGAGGGAGGGAAAGAAAGAGAGACCCGTTTCCCACAGAAAACACCCAGAGCCACAAAACCCAGGTAGGCGTGGGTGTGTGTGTGTCATGTGACTGGGTGGGAGTGATGTTGAGTTGGCCATGCCCACCCAGGTTTTGTGGCTCCCGGTGTTTTCTTTTCTGTGGGAAACGGGTCCAAATCAGGGGTGAAATGCTCCCGGTTTGGACCGGATCACCCGATCCACTAGTGATGGAGGCAGGTGGTTGGGAGAACCGGTAGCAAAAATCCTTGCCCGCCCCCCCCACATGCCTAGCTGAGCCGCACAATCATCAGAGGCTTTTTTTTTTACTTTTAAAAGCATTTTTTCTACAACCTCTTCGGCCAAAAAATGCTTTTAAAAGTAAAAAAAAAAGCCTCTGATGATCGCACGGCTCAGCTGGGATTTGTCAAAGGGTTTTTTTTCTTTTAAATGCCTCCGACAATCCAAGCTGAGTTGCCTGATCGACAGAGGCTTTTTAAAAAACCTCTGCCAATCAGGCAACTCAGCTTGGATCGTCAGAGGCACTTAAAAGAAAAAAAGGGTTTTTTTCTTTTAAATGCTTCTGATGTCCAAGCTGAGTTGCCTGATCGGCAGAGGCTTTTTAAAAAAGCCTCTTCTGATCAGGCAACTCAGTTGGGATCGCCAGAGCCTTTTAAAAGCATTTTTTACAACCTCTTCGCCGAAGAGGTTGTAGAAAAAATGCTTTTAAAAGTAAAAAAAATAAAGTTGGCCATGCCCAACCATTACCCCCCCCCACCAAGCCACACCCACAGAACCGGTAATAACAATTTTTAGATTTCACCACTGGTTCAAATGGCTCTTTGAGTGTTTAAGGTTGCAGACCCCTGAACTAGAAGATCTCCAAGGTCTCTTCCAGCTCTGTTCTGATTGATATGCATTTTTCAGCTGTGTTCTTGTATTCATTTTTATTTGTTTCTGTCCTTTAAATAATTTTATTTCTTTTTTGGGGGGGCTAATGGCTAAGCCACAGTTTTTCAATCTTGGCAACTTTAAGATATATGGGGTTCAATTCCCAGAATTCCCCAGAAAACATGCTGGCTGAGGAATTCTGGCAGTTGAAGTCCACATATCTTAAAGTTGCCAAAGTTGAAAAACATTGGGCTAAGCCAATGAATAATGGGTTTTTTTTACAGAATGAGGGAACACAAAATATTTCCCAGGAAGTAGGCCCATGAGAAACGACTTATGGGTCTTAGGGATACAGCAGAATGAACTCCATTTCTTCCCTTGCATTATTTTGATAACACAGCAGAATAAGAGAGATTTGGAAATTTGCAAGGGGAGAGCAAAATTTTATTTTATTTTTTATTTTTTATTTATTTTATTAGGCTTATATGCCGCCCTATCTCCAACGGACTCAGGGCGGCTCACAACAATAAAATCACAATAATTCATCATGCAAAGTTAAAATGCCTAATTAGATCAAATACTATTAAAAACCCGTAAAAAACCCCATCAGTCCAGGCCGGGAGACTCGAATAACCAAGTTTTTAATTCGCGGCAAAAGGTGCGAAGGTCAGGGGCCAACCAAAGCCCCAAGGGGAGTTGATTCCAGAGGGTGGGCGTGCCCACAGAGAAGGCTCTGCCCCTGGGGGCCGCCAGTCGACACTGTCTTGCCGATGGAACCCTGAGTAGACCCTCCCTATGGGCGCGAACCGGGCGATGGGATGTTGTTGCTGGCTGCAGGTGGTCCACCAAATATCCTGGGCCTAAGCCATGTAGGGCTTTATAGGTCATCACCAGCACCTTGAATCTCACCTGGAGGGCAACCGGCAACCAATGCAGGTCACGCAGGAGGGGTGTTACATCCTCAAGGGCAGCCCCATGTAGAGAGTGCTACAGTAGTCAATACAGGAGGTGACTAGTGCATGAGTAACTGTGCGTAGGGCATCCTGGTCCAAGTAGGGGCACAACTGGCATACCAGACGAATCTGGGCATATGCCCCCCTGGTCACGGTCGTTATATGATCTTCTAAACTCAACCGTGAATCCAGGAGGACACCCAAGTTGCGTGCCCTGTCTACAGGGGGTAAAACTTCACCCCCTATAAACCGATGGAACCTCTCCTATGGACCGAGATGCCGGTACCCACAGCCACTTGGTCTTAGCTGGGTTGAGTCGAAGTCTGTTCTTTCCCATCCAGACCCATACTGCTTCCAGGCACCAGGACATCACGTCGAAGGCATCACTGGGCTGGTTCGGGGTGGATATAAAGAGCTGAGTGTCATCAGTGTATTGATGGTACCTCACCCCGAAACCACAGATGATCTCTCCCAGCGGTTTCATATAGATGTTGAACAGAAGGGGCGAGAGAACCAACTCCTGGGGCACCCCACAAGTGAGGGGCCTCCAGGTCGATCTCTGCCCCCCTGCCAACACTGCTTGCGTTCGACCCGAGAGGTAGGAGGAGAACCATCATAAAACGGTGCCTCCCACTCCCAACCCCTCGAGATGACGCAGCAAGATACTGTGGTCGACGGTATCAACAGCCGCCGAAAGATCTAATAGGACCAGAACCGAGGAATAACTTCTGTCCCGAGCCCTCCAGAGATCATCCACTAGCGTGATCAATGCCGTCTCCGTGCTGTACCCGGGCCTGAAACCCGATTGGTACGAGTCGAGGTAATGAAATGAGGACAGGATGGTGACAAAGCTTGCTAATGATGATACAGGAATTAAGGAAGGAGGGAGCTATTGTAGTATGCTGCTATTCATCCCAAAATATATGTGGTGGTATGGCAACATTTATACTGGACACTATACAGATAGTCCTTAATTTACAATCATAAACGGGACCAGATTTTCTGTTGTTAAGCAAAGCAATTGTTAAGTGAGTCATGCCTGGTTTTATGGCCCTTTTGCTATGGTTGTTAAGCGAATCTCTGCAATTATTAAGTGAATCACACAGTCGTTAAGCGAATGCAACGTTCTCCATCGACTTTGCTGGTCAAAAGCTATCTGGGAAGATTGCACAAGGCAGTCATATGAGTCCAGGATGCTGCAACCGTTGTTAATATAGGCCAGTATAGGCCAGTATGGAGATGTTGCGATAGTTATAAACGTGAGGACTGGTTATAAGTTACTTTTTTCAGTGCTATTGTAACTTTGAATAGTTGCTAAACAAATGGTTGTAGGTCAAGGACTACTTGTAGTGCTTTGGCATCTTTTCCATCCCTGAAATAGTCCTAAGTCAGGTTTAAGAAATTTGGGCAAAACTTTTGGTCCACTCATATTGGACTCCTATCCAGGTAAACTTGGGAATGGAGAGGAGATTTACTGCAGAACATAACCATATCTAAAAGTCAGCTCAGCTGTTCAAGAGCTTACCTGAAATAGCAAAGCCACTAAAGCCCACAGCCAGGACGAGAAAAGAAATCGCCATTCCTTTGCTGTGGGAATAACCAACTACTAAGAGCAGTGTGGCTTCCATGCCAAACCCTGGTGAGAAATGAAAACCACACATGTAACTATGGGTTGCAAAAAATATTAGCTGCATTCAAACATTGTATGAAACTAAAACTAAAAAACAAATCATGATATGGCTTAGTATGCAATATAAGAACCCACTCAAAAGATCCCAGTTTAAAACCAATGATCACCATTGGTGTAAGACCAGGTGAGACAGGTGAGGGACAGATCATCATGGAGAACATCTATCTGTGTAATCACTAAGACCTGATATTGATCTGATGGCACATAATCAATCAATAAACATAGTTATAAGTTCTGCATTATGCCAGTCGTTTTGATACTTTGAGGTTCTGAGATCATTTCAGACTATTCTGGAAGGATGTTTCCTGAAGCTTCCCTATAACAGTGCTCTTCAGATGAGATGGACTACAGTTCCCAGTATTCTCATCAGCAGGGCCATAAGTGTTTTGGCTGAGGATTTGAGGAGTCGTATTCCAATGCATCTGGAGGACGTACCAAGTTTTGAGGTGCTTTTTTTTTTTTTAATGAAAGCTATTCTTTCATACATGAAAGAAGTTTGGAAGTTTCTGGAAAGTTGTGGTAGAAAATCCCTCTCAAGAAAGAACAGACAAGACGTACAAGGCCCTTCAATCTGGTTAGGCTCAGGCTATTGGAAACTCAGCCTGAACTTTGTTAAAGCCAGATGCAAAAATTTAACAGAGATTTTATTTTATGAGTACTTGAAACCATATCTTTCTTCATTATTAAAGATGAAAACAGGATTTCTGTGAATTGTCTGCAAAGCTTTTGGATTTGGAGGTCCTGTGGCCCTTCAAACGTTGAATTAAAATGCTGACCATGATTGATATCAGCAAGGGATGATGGGGATAGGTATGTAGTAGGTCGCCCGCTCCTATTTTAAGAAATACAAGGTGATTCTAGGAACTGCAGTGGTGCAGTGGTTAGAATGCAGTATTGCAAGCTGTCTCTTCCAACTGACTCAACATTGACTCAGCCTTCCATCCTTTCAAGGTCGGTAAAATCAACACCTACATTGTTGGGGGTAATATGTTGACTCTGTAAACTGCTTAGAGAGGGCTGTAAAGCACCATGAAGCGATATATAAGTCTACAGTAAGTGCTATTGCTGTTGCTATAGCATTCCTTCCTTTAAAGAGGGGCTCTCCAAACTTGGCAACTTTAAGACTTGAGGACTTCAACTCCCAGAACTGAGGAATTCTGAAGTCTTAAAGTTGCCAAGTTTGAAGACCCCTCTTTAAAGAATTCAAGCACCTTTTGTTCTTGCCAAACAACCCTCAGTACTCATCTTTTCAATCTGGGTATCTATCTCATTTTTCTTAAAAAAAAAAAAAAAAACATCTCTCTAGAGGTAGCTGCTTAGTCTTAACCCTTGTCTCCACAGCTTGTGGTGTGACAATGATGCCTCTTTCACTCACCCCCACAGTTCATCATCTTGCGGACATTGGTGGTAGACATAAGTCTTCGCGAGCGCAAGAAGTCGGCAATTTGGCCTCCAATGGGTACAATGATGGTCATAACCAAGTGGGGCAAAGCAGAAAGCATCCCCACCTGTGTGTGAAAAGTGAAGAGAAATAGTCAGCATCCCAGAGACCAGAAGGTGTTAAAAGATAGCTACAACGGTCTTCCCCAACTTTTGAGGCTTGTTGGCCTAGCTCTGGGTGTTGTAATGACCACACACACAAAGGTTGAGAATATATGTGAGGGTAATTTATTGTCTTACATAGTGACATTATATAGTTTGTTACTACAAGTTACAGCAGTACTTGGCAGCATCTCATTGGCTCACAAAAGTCTTCCAGCAACTAAAATCTTTGGTTAATCATTATACTGTTTGCCTAAGCACTTATAATGTTTATCTATAATTAAAGTCTGACACATCCCATTTCCTCTTCCCTTGCTCCTTTTTATTTACAGATTTAGGGTCTTATTTTCTAATACCATTTCCTGGCGCTTACGTGCACGTAACCTTTCCTTATCTGAGGTTTGCCATCCAAGATAGGAAAATTTTCCTGCACATATGCAAACTCCTACACTCTGGGGAGGGGAGGGGAACTGGCTGTGTGCACGCACATAGCTCCACTCACACAAGAGAGGCCTTTGGGGTGAGGTTTCACAGTCCTTCAAGCTTCTCTGTGCCAAAAGCTTTTGCAAAGGGACGGAAGGCCTGAAACAGTGCAAGATTGCTCCCCTGAAGGCTTTCGGCCATTTGCAAAAGCTTTTAGCGTGGAGAAGAGAAGCCTTTAGGGGCATGATCTCGTGCTCCTTCAGACTCACCGAGGCTGCTAGACGCTCCAAAAGCAGATCGGGTGTCCTGCGCAGGCAGCTTCGGTCAGTCAGCAAAGCTGAGCAGGGCACATTCATCCCACTCAGCCTCTTCTCTTACCGCTCCACTTTTGGAGCATCAGAGCATCAGCTTTGCCACCCAGGTTGGGTGGGGTGTGATGGGCAGAAGGGAACTGGGCCACTCACATGAGTGGAACTGCACATGGCACTAGCCTGCCTCTCGCATGGCCTGGTTCTAAATAGGCCACGCTTGGTTGTGGGGACTCTTGCCTTAGAAGAAGAGGAGACTCGAGGGAGACAGTATCTTCCATTCTTTTTCAAAAAATATATTTATCATATTAGGCAATTAATTTAAAAAAATAACGCCAATCCCATTTTCCAGCAGCAAAAAAATAAATAAAAATAAAATAAAATTAGGAAGTAATGATAATTTGGCACTTTCCCAAATCTTGTCTAAATTTCCCAGTAATGGATATTGATTTATATTCTTTATATAAGCCTAAAGTCACTATCTACAGTCTTTAATCAAAGTGTAAAACAAAATGGGCCAATCTAAAATTTAGATAGGCTCCCAATTTCTAAGGCCAATGAGGATAAGCATCTCTCTTGCAGAATATACTCAATTTGCCCATATGCATTTTTGCCGGTTAATGACCTCAATAAAACTATTTGTATATCCATGTGAACACACATACATACAAACAAGAAAAAAAAAACATCTTTCTTACCTTACTGATTTCAAAGCCAAAGACTTCTTCAAAATAGGCTGGCTGGCTGATTAAAAGTAAATAAAATGTCCAGCTTCGGCAAAAATTGGCTACAATTATGGCATAAACTGGCATGGATGTGAAGAACTTACGCCATGGAGTTTTGAATTTCTGCAGAGATGGAGCAAAGAATTTTTGTTATCAGACACTTTCCAGATGGGCTGTTTTATAACTTCCATATGTTCCAGATGGGATTTCAACAGATATGTCCACCCAGGTTGGAAAGCCCAGGGCTGAAGGACACTATACTAAATAAATAATTTAATAAATGAAGGTAAAATTGCTGTGAGCCTTTTGAAGCACCACAGAGGAGCTGACTAACTTACCAATATATTACAAATACTGACCATAAGGGGATTCATAAGGCTGGCACTCTCTCCGATGCTTTCCTCTATATACTTCTTCTCTTCCTCCGTGATGGTGGGGTGCTGTGCAGGACTCTCATAGGAAACCATCAGCCAGAATATATACCAGAAAATACCAAAGCTCCCTGCAAAGACAGAAGTACAGAATAATCAATGAGATCTATGGGCCTCCCTTTTCCCCATTCTTGGATGAACGTGCTCGCCACCCCTTTTAAATCAGGGGATAACAAGGTATTTCAGCAGGAAATCTGTGGCTCCGGTTGCTGATCCTTATCTGGCTTCAATTGCTTGTTTCCCATCATTCTGGTCAACTGACTTTTTGCCAAGGTGATGGGTGACAAAATATAGCAGACCTGGAGGTTTTCTGCAGATGGTGGTGGAATAAGTTAGTATATTTACAACAGAAAGTACTTGACTTACGACCATAATTAAGCCCAGTTGTTAAGCAGGTCATTTATATGACCATGCCCGATTTTACGAGTTCTTTGGTGGCAGCTGTTAAGCAAGTGCCATACTCAGTGGTGGGATTCAAATAATTTAATAACCTGTTCTCTGCTCTAATGACCAGCTGGGTAGGTGTGGCTGGATGATCATTGACTGGGTGGTTGTGGCCAATTCAATGTCGCTCACATTGAGGGGCGCCTTGCCTCACCCGGCCTCTCATCACCACTCCTGGCCTGGCCTTGGCTCGCACCTCCCTTCCCAGCCACTCCTTTTCACACCTGGCAGCTTGCCTCGCCGCCCAGCTGCTCACCTCGCAGCCCGGCTGGGTGAACAGCTGGGCAATGAGGTGAGGAGTGGCTGGGAGGGGAGGGGCGAGGCGTGGCCGGGCATGGCAAGGCACGCTATTCAGCTGGTTCGCTGAACTGCGCAAAAAGTTAGCTACCAGTTCTACTGAACTGGTGGGAACTGCCTGAATCCCATCACTGGCCATACTCACTAAGCCAGGGGTTTCAAATTTGATTTCATTAAGGGACGAATCAGGGTTGAGTTAGACCTTGGGGGGCCAGATTGGGCATGGCCAGCTCGATGTCACTCGTGCCCAAGCATGCTGCCAGTGAAAACAGGCTCCTGAGCTCCATTTTCTGTTGCAACAGCTTCCTGCAACCCTGTGCCAGCAAAAGTGAACCTCTTCCTGAGCTCCATTTTCACTGGCAGCAGCACCACAGGCCGGTTCTTTGCTGTTTCCAGGGTAGCCCCATGGTCCAGATCTAAGCACCCTGTGGGCCAGATCCAACCCCTGGGCCTTGAGTTTGACACCCCTGCACTAAGGTAACCCATTGTTTACTATGGGATGTTTTTTGCCAGAAAGTGGAAATTAAAGCCATTTTCTGGAAAAATGTTTTAAATCGTGGTCACATGCCTTAGGTCTCTGCAAACGGCCATAAATGCAGGCTGGTTGCTGATTGGCTAAAATATGGTCTCGTCAACATGGGGGGGGGAGATGGAGGCCGGTCATCAGAACTTCAAACCCAGGTTGTAAGTTCCTTTTTCAGGGTCTGTCATAACTTTGAAAGGCTGCAAAGTGACCAGTCGTAAGTAGAAGACTGCCTGTATTTTAACATCTATATGGCTGCGGATGGCTTAAGATTGTCTCATTGAGCTGGCAATGGCACAGGGACATGGAGGATAAAAAGTGTGCTAAAGTATGTTAGGACTGTGATTCTCAGTGAAGAAAGGCCCATATGGCAGCCATCATTTTTGTGCCAGTTTACTTACCATAGACGTAGAATACAGAGCTCCATCCTGAATATTGAACAAGAATCCCAGCAAGAGGCATGGCCACCACTGCCCCAGCATAAGAACCTGGAAAGTTATATAGGAAATATTAGCTAAATATGCAAGCCAGGAATCCTCACTCCTATCTACCTGTAAACCTGAAACCACGATTGCCCTTTGATCTGAAATGCCATTCTTAGTTGTTGTTCTAATATTTACACATGAGAGAAAAGGAGATGATAAAACCTTACCCACAAGAGGAACAGGAGCTAATAAATCATAGTGAAATTAAGATGTAATTCCTTAAATTTTTACCAGTAGTGCTAATTGAATTGAAAAGGAAACAAGCAGGGTAGAAGCTACAAAATAAAATTAGTAATAGCATTTACAGCTTTAGGAGACCATTTTGTTTCCAAGTAAACATTACAGAATATGAATATGAATATGAATATGTCTATGAATAAGAATATTTATAAATACTGTGATGCTGTATTAAATGCTTTGGGTAACCACTATTTTAATTATATTACTAGATTATTATGAAAAAACAATACCTCACCAACAATAAAGCAAAAATGTGAAAGCAACTTAATAGCCATTTTTAGTAAGTTCATAAACCAATCCTGTGATGGTTCAACTTGCGGGATAAGAGGGAAAAACTCCAGTGAAGTGTTTTGATCTAGAGTTTTGCACAAAGTCTAAATCAGTGTTTTTCAAACTTGGCAACTGTAAGATGGGGAGGAACAGGCTCAGGCTCAACCCATCCAAGACCGAGTGGCTGTGGTTTCCGACGTCCCGATATAGTCAGTTGACGCCATCGCTGACTATTGGGGGCGAATCGCTGGCCCCCACCGAGAGGGCTCGCAACTTGGGTGTCCTCCTGGATTCATGGCTGTCTTTAGAAGAGCACTTGACGGCCGTGACCAGGAGGATTTTTCATCAGGTTTGCCTGATTCGCCAGTTGCATCCCTTTCTGGATCGGACTCCCTACACACAGTCACTCATGCCCTCGTCACTTCCCGCCTGGACTACTGTAACATGGGGCTTCCCTTGAGGAGCACCCGGAGGCTCCAACTGGCGCAGAGTGCGGCCGCGCGGGTGGTTATGGGAACAACATGGCGCTCCTGTGTGACACCTCTCCTGCGCGAACTGCACTGGCTCCCGGTGGTCTTCCGGGTGCGCTTCAAGGTTTTGGTTACCACCTTTAGAGCGCTCCATGGCTTAGGACCTGGTTATTTATGGGACCGCCTACTACCACAAGCAGCCTCCCACCGGCCAGTACGCTCTCATAGAGGGGGGTTCCTCTGGGTGCCGTCAGCTAAACAATGTCGACTGGCGGCCCCCAGGGGGAGGGCCTTCTCTGTGGGGGCAGCCACTATTTGGAACGAGCTCCCCCCAGAGATACGTAGGATCCCAGATCTGCGCACTTTCCGCCGTGCTCTTAAGACTCTCCTATTCCAGCAAGCCGGCCTGGCCTAATTTTCTCCCTTGTCTTAAAATTCTTTTAAATCGAAATTTTAATCTGTTTTAAATTATTGGGATTTTTAATTGTCTCGGGCTAAATTATTTAATCTGGTTTTAATTATGTTCTTAACTTTTGTATCTATGTATTTTATTTTGTGCCTGTTCACCGCCCTGAGTCCTTCAGGAGTAGGGCGGTATATAAATCTAATAAAACAAACAAACAAACAAACAAACAAATAAACAAACAAACAAACAAGATGTGTGGACTTCAACTCCCATGCTGGCTGAGGAATCCTGGGAGTTGAAGTCCATAGATATCTTAAAGTTGCTAAGTTTGAAAAATATTGGTCTAGAGCCGGGGTGTCAAACTTGATTTCGTTGAGGACTGCATCAGGGTTATGTTTGACTTCAGAGGGCTGGGGAGCAGGCATGGTCATGGTGGGCGTGGCCAGGGGTGGGTGTGACAAGGGACTCATGTTGGGGGCACATGTGGTGGCCAAGTGCTAATACAGGACTTCCCTGAGACCCTCCCTCACTCTCATTATAATCTTCCTCCCTCCCTCCCTCCCTCCCTTCCTTCCTTCCTTCCTTCCTTCCTTCCTTCCTTCCTTCCTTCCTTCTTTTTCACCCCGAGCCCCATTTTCACTGGTAGAGGGATGCAGGAGGCCGTCGTGCCCAAAAATGGGGTGCTGTCTGTGCCCCATTTTTGCTGGCAGAGGGCTGCAGGAGGCCCCGCTCCAAGCTCTGTTTTTGCTGGCAGAGGCCCCGCAGGCCAATCCTTTGCTGTTTCCAGTCCGGCCCCAGAAGCGGCCCATAGGCCTTGAATTTGATACCCCTAGTCTAGAGATAGATCAAAGATTCAACTCTCCAGAAGTCAACAACTATCAGCTTTAAGAAACAAGGTTATCTTACCACAGAAAGCTGTTGTGGCCAAGCGGCTACGTTCCAAAGGAGGTGCCCATTTGCTCCAGATACCATGGCATGCTGGGTATGTGACTCCCTGGAGGTGAAGGGCAGAGAATTATATAAAGAGGAAGACCAAAAATTTAGTTTCATTAGTTTCTTAGCTCTTTCCCATTCAGACTCTTCTGTAAGAAAGTGATAGAAACATGGAGATAGACGAAATTTCATAGAAGAATTAAGCGTGTTGGTCCTGAGAAAGTAGGTAGGATCTTCAGAGCTGTCAGTGTGATTACCAATGCATTTGATTCATATCCTTTAGTTGAACAATGTCTCCCCAGGAAATTATGAGTTGGTGGGTCCAAGCAGTTGTAAACTCATCCTTGATAGAGGAGGTGGCTACTTCCCCATAAGACATTGTTGCACTGTACAGTATTGGATAATTTCTGACTTGTCTCCCCACTTCCCTTGGGAAAGATTGTTGAGAAGGTGGTCATTTTGAGGCTTCAGAAGGCTCTGAAAGTAGTTGATATATCAATCTGCTTCTGGATTAAGGCAGCATACCAGACTGGCACTGATCTTCCATGATAATCTAGTAAAGGACTGGAATGGATCAATTCTGGATCTCCCTGATCTCTGAGTGGCGTATGATAGCATCAATAATTGTATCCTTCTGAACTGCCTTAAGGTTATTGGGAGGCTTAGGGTTACTCCCCTAAGTCTGGAATTGTTTGGACACCTGCCTTATTTTTGAAAGGTTCTAAAGACTTGGCTTTTCTCTCAGGAGCCTTGTGGGGTCATCTTAATTATTCTGGTTGTGGGACTGTGAGAAGTTGCCTCATGTGTGATATTTCTTATTTTTTATTTATCTTAAGTTACCATGAGTTGATTGGACAGCCAAAGAAAAATAAATAAAGTAAAATAAGTAATAAAATAAATAAAGTATAATAAAATAATAAAATAGACTGAATAGAGCAAGCCTGCTAAGATGAAGAACAATGGAATCTTCCTCCCATTCCATGTATGGATCTATCTGAAGTGAATCTCATTTCAACTCTAATATGAGTTGAGAACATATTAAATATGAGAATAGAATCTAAAGTACGCCTACAAGCAGCCAACCAATCCAGGGGCTTCCAATAGGCAATTTAGTATTCAGAGCTGTATCTTCCAACCTCACTCTTTCCTCCCTGCTATCTGTAGGGAGATATAGACAATGATGATGATTTGGCTGACCCCATAGCTGAGATATAAATCTGCCTTCTCCAGTTTGTTGCCTCTTGGTTGACTTTATCTTCACTTTCCATAGTGCTTGGCATGGACTTTTGTCATGGTGGCAGGCTAAAAACCTAACACATCAGGCTGAGAAAAGCTGGTGCAAATAACACAAGAAGCAAACCCTTTGTTTGGAGCTGCTGTAAGGGAATATTACTGCCAGGCAGATCAAGAACCTCTTTGTAGAGCAAAATAGATTCATCCTATTGAGGGCAATAGCATGGCATGATTTGATGTTCTTCTTACACCTGCATGATACTGTTTAGTTCTTCTTACAGCTCTATAATATTTTTAGCCATTTGAATAGCTCTCAATGTTTATTACTGTTAGCAATAAAAGTGTTCATGACCAATGTTTATTTTTTATTGGATTCTTGCAATACCCTGGAGATTCAGCCAGGCTTTATATGGTGTAAAGTGGAAGAAGCTCACAGAATCATAGAATTGTTGAGTTGGAAGAAAATACAAGGATCATCTTCTAATCCAACCCTGGTGGGAGATGGAAGAGGAACGCTTAAGGATATTGGGAAAACCATCTTCTGCAACTCCTATCCATTCCTGTGTTAACTTTGTGGCCACAAAAGCAAACACGTGAAGCGACCAGCCTTACCTCAACAAGTCCTTGTAAGATCCTCACAAAGATTACACAGCCAAAATGGACCCGAGCAGCTGAGGGAATGAGCATGTTCAAAGTAGAGGTTGCCACAATGGCAAAGCCAAAAACTCTGCAACCAATAGAAGAGGGTGTTAGTAGTAGCAGCAAAGATCGCTACATACTTTGTACACAGAGTTTCTATTGCATCGTTCTCCTAAGAAAGTGTTCTAGTTCAGAGTGTCCCTTTTCACTCTTCCAGGCAATCAATCATACCCTTGTTCCAGAATACTCCATTCCACACACTCAGAGCTTGTAAACCAATGTTTTTCAAACTTGGCAACTTTAAGATGTGTGGACTTCAACCCCCAGAATTCATCAGGAAGCTGGCTGAGGAATTCTGTGATGTTCACACATCTTAAAATTGCCAAGAAAAACACTTGTGGGCTGTTTTGGTGTTCTTTCTGTGTTTCTGTATACTCCTGTAAAATAGTGTGTGTTGGTCTTTCTTCATTTTGCTTCAGCTGGCTTCATAAGAATCGAGACTTTCCTCTAAGATGTAGATTTGGAGGGAATAATACTTATGTATACAAATTTCATGATTGCTGACCACCCCCACCCCAATACCATGTCATGAAGTGCAGAGCAACAATTATCTTCTTTAAGCACCACTCCATATTTCATTATTTTGGATTAAGGGAATATTGCCATTTTGTTTGGGGTCAAAATTGACCCTTGAAGACTTGAAGTGAGAGTGTCTTTTGAGGCAGGATCCTCACTAATGGCTTTAGGCATCTTCTGAAGTCATCGAATTGTTGCTGAATTACTTGGGTTTGTCAGTTGGAACCTTGACAATGTGTTGATGATAGTTGCAATATACTGGACTCATAGAACCATCATTTGCAATCTTCCCAGCTGGCTTCCAACAAGCAAAATCAACAGGGAAGCTGGGTTTATTTAATGACCACATGATTTGCTCAACAGCTGTGGCCAAAAAAAATGTAAAATCAGGTATGTGTCACTTAACAATGACCTAGCATAACAACTGAAATTCTTGTTCCAATTGTGGTCATAAGGTGAGGCTTACCTGTATGATTAAAATTGAGCCACATCTTTAGAAGAGAATATACAACTGGAATCGTAACTTTTCAGTTGTAGTCTTGGACAGCTGAGATCTGATTTAATGAAATTCTCAAGAGTTGCTGTCTCTTAATTTTCATTAGCCCAGCTAGGGTGGCCAGTAGTGATGGACACCAGAAGATCAAGACACCAACGAAGATTCCCTTGCTGATCTACACCCAAACATATATTCCACTTTTCCCCTGAAAACAGTTACCTGTTAGCTGCAAATTTCTGTGATATGAACCCCCCTGGGATCTGGGTGACGATGTAACCCCAGAAGAATGACCCGTGGATCATGCCTACTGTCTCTGGATCCCAGTTGAACTCAGCTTTCTAAGCAAGAAAGGAGAAGAAACAAGTGACAGGGGACATATGAGCTTGCAATTCCTGGTTAGAGCCACTTATAGTGCCTCCTAGATAGAAGTTGGAGCGATTTGGAGAAATGCAACTGAGCCAGTTTACTGCATTCTGCATTTTCCGGGAAAAAAAGATTTGCAGAAAATCATTTTGGGTAAATGAAATTGTGTGTGGACCATTAAGTCCAGAAGTTAAACTTATTTATAGTATGTACACAACTGAGAGCACACATTAACTTGAATGGAGGCTGAAGAGTGTGTTTTTGAGACCGTGAGAGTGAAGAGTGCATTCCTTTGATACCTGACATCAGAATACACAGGATTAGGGAAACACATAAGTGGTTGTCAGGACTGTTCTCTCTTCCTGATGTTTCTTTTTAGAAATTAAGCATCTATGTAGAATTCTCAACCTTTTATTCCCCATGTGAGTGGTGACTTGTATTTTATAAACCCAGACTTCTCAGATGTGAAATTTCTCAAATGCTACTGCTTCACCTGTTGACCTGATGCATCTTTCAGAATTTTAAGGAGGTGCAGAATGTCTTTTTATATGAATGATCCCCTCAAAACAACAACAACAAAACAACAACCCCTGAACCAAAACAGTTACTTTCCATTAACAGAGGATGAACAGCCTCACCTTCACAATGACTTTATCCCCTTCATAGACGGTATTATTATTAACCATGCTGACAATGGCCACGCCCAGGTTGCATCGGATGCCAAAGCTGATGCAGAAACCCAGACCGCAGAGGATGGCGATGATGTAACGGCGAGGGAGGCCAAAGCAGGTGCAGTCTATGATGGGCTGGGCTTTCTCAGACACTTCAACAGGCCGCCCCTCTTCTGTCAGCTCGATGGTCTCCCCACCGGGCTGCTTCCTTTCTAAAATTCTGGGGTGGAGACAGCAGGGAACAAAAAACGAGTGTATGTGTTAAAATTAGCACTTTGATGTAGTGGTGAAGGTGATGGACTGAAAACCAGGAGATCAGGATTTCTAGTCTTCACTTAGGCATGAAAGCTGGTGACTGCCTTTGGGCCAGAGGCTGTTGTAAAATCAGGTATGACTCACTTAACAACTACCTTGCCTTAGCAACAGAAAATTTAGTCCCAATTTTAGTCCTAAATTGAGGACTACCTGTATTAAGTTCAATGAAAAATCTAGACAGCTGTTGAGTATGACAGAACTCTTCTTCAGATTCAGTGTTAAAGAAGAATTTCTTGACAGAGATGAAGACAGAGTTAAAAATATAGGTGTTATAGCAGAAGGCTCTTATTTAACGCATAACAAGATTGCCCAGGCATTCTTCATTAAGCCCTCCATCTCTGGCCTGCAGAGACCCATATGACTGTTAGATGGCAGCAAAGGAGTATTGTATTTTTGTAGCCTTAGTCTTTTTGTGTCTTCATTTAAAAATCATTAACTGATTCTAAGGCATAGAGCTAGATGGAACTGCACAATCAAAGTCCTGTGTTGTTGTTTTGTTTTTCTAACACACTGTGCATTGCAACACACATAAAAAGACGCAGGGCTTCCATGATGCAGTTGTGGCCCCCATTTTCTTCTTGTTGTTTGTTTTATCTCCCTCCCTCAACATAGCTGTATCTTTTACAAGCTTCCGTTTTTCTACTGAGTAAGGAATTATAGTTTGACCTTCTTCTGTTGGAAATACAAGGGAAGGCCAGGGTTTCAATTTGCTCATCAGAATTCACTGACTCTTGTGAGTTGGTGAGCAAAAAATAGAGAAAATTGCTTTTATATATGCAAAATAAGAGATTTATCTTGGAGAATACTAGGCATAAAATCAATAAAAGCAAAATCAATAATGCAGGGAAGAGTACTGCTTGGTGACTGGCAGATGCACTTAGCATTTGTGGAGGTCATATGCAGGAGGCAGGCCAACAATTCCAGGTGGGTTGGATATTCCCATAACTATGGGAATGGGATACACATGGGCAGGTCAGTTAATTTCCTTTGCTAGGGAAAATTTGATATGGTTAATTTATTTTTTAAAAAAAACAATCCAAAATCTATTTTTGGTCTGATATGGCAGTTTTCATGTACGTCTTATCTCAGATTGGCAAGAAAGCCTCTCATCAAGGAACTAATCAAGAAGAGAAGCAACTTAAAACTGAGGAGAAATTTCCTGATAGTGAGAACAATTATTCAGTGGAATGACTTGCTTCTAGAAGTTGTGGGTGCTCCAACACAGGAGGTTTTTAAGAAGAGATAGGACAACCATTTCTCTGAAATGGCATAGGGTTTCCTGCCTGAACAGAGGGTTGGATTAGAAGACCTCCAAAGTACAACTCTGTTATTCTGTTATCAATTTTTGGCAATACTAGGGATAGTACCAAGGGGTCTATTGGTGGCCCTGGGACTGCTTACAGGCCCATTCTAATAAACGGTCTAATAAATGGAAAGGGGAGTTTTGCCTACTTCCCAATTTGTACTGAAGAGTTAATAGCCTCTGTTTCACTGAAAGCAGAGTGACCTGTAACTAGGCGGCTGTGAGAAATAATTGCAAAAGTTCTCCCCTGCCAAGGATTGTAAAGAAGCTTGGAGCCCTCCCAAGTCCTTGTCCGTCACCAGCCTCTTCCTGCTCTTCCATACCGTCTTGTCAGTCTGGTGGAGAGGCGGGTGCAACCCACGCAGAAGCTGTTCTGAGCAGAGCCGATGCAGATGGGCTGTGAGCTCTGTCTCGGCTCCAGGCCCAAGAATTCTTCTCTTGCTTAGCAACCAAGGAACATGGTCCTTCTTCCCAATCCTGCTTTGCCTGACCCTCTCTTCCCTCATTCCAAAATTCTCCCTGCCCTTCTTCTAAATCTCCTTACCTCTCCTGCCTTCCTCTGCCTTGCAGGACTGGTTGCAAGTCTGAGTGAGGAGCTCTTGGTAATGTTTTGGTCCTGGCATGAAGGAAATTTTGTGTATCCTTTTGAAACTCCCAAGTGCTTAGGACACCAGATGGACAGGATGGCCCATGTTCATTTTCTCAACCTTAAATTCATTGCATCCCATTTCTGCCCAAATCATACACATTTTTATGTGCATTTCTCTCATTATTGTATTTTTTGCACACCTCCTACCCATTTTTTTGGTATTGTCATAGACTATTTGATTGAATACAAATGCATTTTAATGCCATGTTTGCAAATATATGCATCGTTTCCCTAATACGCACATTCTGTATGTCTTAAAAAAGCAAGAACACCATTGCAGAACTCAGAGAAGTGTGAATATCAAAGAACAACTGTATTTTTGTCTCACTCAGGAAGTGCTAATTTGGTAAGTTTAGTAAAATTCCACCTCCGTTTTTACTTCTGGCCTCTATTTCTACCATTCTCTGTTCCTTTCATTACTTACTGAATTACTGATTAAACCGGTGAAACTAGTTCTGATGTGTCTAATAGTAAGGAAAAAGAAATGGGACATGGGATTTGTGGGTTTATAAGACACCCCACCTTTGTCTTCTAGCTTTTTAACTCTGAACCTTTTCCCTGTCAGTGTATTTTTAGTGGAAATTTCCAGGTACAAGCAACAGGCATAAGTACACTTGCCATCAATACAAGTAGCCCTTGATTTACGACCACAATTGAGCCCAAAATTTATGTTGCTAAACGAGGCAGTTGTTAAGTGAATTTTGTCCTATTTTACAATCTTTTTTGCCACACTTTTTAAGTGAATCACAACAGTTGTTAAATTAATAATACGGTTCTTAAGTGAACCTGGCTTCCCCGTTGACTTTGGTTGTCAGATCCCACAAAAGGGGATCACATGATCTCAGAATACTGCAACTGTGATAAATATGAATCAATTGCCAAGAAACTGAAATTTGATCATATGATCACTGGGATGCTGTAATGGTCGTAAGTGTAAAAACGGTCATAAGTCACTTTTTTAGTACTAAATGAACTGTTGTAAATTGAGGACTAGCTGTATAAAAAATGGGGACTAGAGGTTGAACTGCAAATCCCAGAATTTCAGGTTGTGATGGCCAATGGAGATGCTTCTTGTTTCTAAGGTCTGACATCACTCTTCTACTCCCACCCCCTAGAAGAGAATTTATTCACAGATTGGCTGAATTAACTACACTGGGAGAAATACCAGTGGCACTTTAATTTTCATCCACAGATAATACAACCACCCATTTTATGAATTTATCTCCCATATCTTTTAACAAAAGTCAAACACACAAAGCCTAACCCATGAATTTCTGTCAGTACATTAAAATGCTACCTCTTTACTTTTCTAAATATTAGGGAAGCTTATCTGAACAATTTACCCCATAGGTCTACAAAAATACCACTTGAATATTTTGCTATGGGGTTTCCAAAAAATTATGATTGTCACTGTTTATTGTCCTGCAATAGAGAGCATTTGTCCTGCAATAGAGAGCTTTTGTAAGGAATTTTGAAGAATGTGGGTAGGCTTTGCTACCCTTAATTTCTAGCTATAGTCAAAAAGGTTATTTAACATGGATACAAAATACTGGATATTATTTTATTCAACACTTCTTTTTGAAAGTATTGATTTTGTTGGCACATGAGTTTATAATAATATTTATTATATATTGATTAATGTTATAGAGATATGCTGGATTTTATAATAATAAAATTTATATTCCTATTTTAATGTTTTATCTATTTACTATGAACTTGGGCAGGGGGATTTTAGAGATCTGTTGAAGAATTGATATGTCATAAAATTACTGCCATTGTTTTCCTATGATATCTGAAGTTTTTCATTTTTTGTGATTGTTGCTATCTTCTCCTGCCCTCCCAGGACATGTTGCCAGCAAATTGTCACTGTTACTTCCCCTTTAATCAATCTGTTTTAGGTTGAAAGGACCCAACCTTGAACAAATTATAACAAAGGCAAATTTTCCATTAAAATTCTTAGGAAGGAACCCTGTTCAAAAAGTCTATCTCTTGCTGAAATAACAAGGAAAATACTACTTTAATGTTGACACAGCTAACAAAAACTTAAGGCTGTCTCAATCATGAACTAGAAGTGAGAGAAAGAAAAAGGCATGAGGAAGAAAAAAATATGTACCACAATTAGATGCACTGTAATTGGGGAAAAACAGGAACATATTATTTTCTCCCTTATTCTGATGCCAACCAAGAGCTCTGTACAGTATAAGTAGTCCTCAAATTACAACCATTTAACAACCATTCAAAAATATGGTGACACTGAAAAAAAATGGCTTATGACCAGTCCTTGCACATGAAGTCTGTTACAAGGCCCCCAGGGTCCAATATCTAAGGAGCTGCTACAAAGAAGAGGGGGTCAAATTATTCTCCAAAGCACCATAGGGCAGGACAAGAAACAATGGTTCGAAACTAAGCAAAGAAAGAAGCAACCTGGAATTAAGGAGAAACTTCCTGAGGACAATTAACCAGTGGAACAGCTTGCCTTCAGAAATCATGAGCGCTCCATGAATGGAAGTTTTTAAGAAGAGACTAGACAATCACTTATCTGAAATGGTATAAGTTCTACTGCTTGAGCAGGGGGCTGGACTAGAAGACCTCCAAGATCCCTTCCAACTGTATTCTGCTCTGTTCTATTCCTATTCTTATTCCTAATCCTAATCCTATCCCAAGGTCATTTGATCACCATTTACAATCTTCCCAGAGTCCCTCTAAGAAGCAAAGTTAATGTGGGAAGCCAGATCTGGGCTTGTCTGCTCTGAACTGCTGAACTGAAACTAAGAATTTACTTACAATCTCTCCTCTCTACCATGTTGGAAGAATCTGCTGTTGGTATTGTAAATTTACTTCATATGTTATTATGTATATAAAGAGGTTAATGAATCCTGCTGAATCAGTTTACCTGTGTGTGCTTTCTGGATTTGATTTTTGCAACAAACTCTGATTAAAAAGGTCATAAAAT